TACTTACATACGTACTTACTTACTTACGTACTTACTTATGTACGTACTTACTTACTTACGTACTTACTTACTTACTTACTTAGAAAAGAGAGGAAACTAAACCGGTTGAAAAATAGGACCCAAAAATAACATAAAGACATGTACAGAGCACCAGGAAAGACAAAATTCAAATTTTCTGCAGAGACTCCAAGTCCACAACAAAATGAATTTAACAGTAAAAAAAAAGTGGATTTTGCAGACATTTCCCCTTTAATCCTGTGATCCTGGATGGACTGTTGAGGAGACATCAGAAAATATTTAAAGCTTTAAGACCTGAAAGATGCAACATCAGTGACATCTACTGGTCAGATGCAGGTACAACAGCCACACAATAGAAATCTTTCACACTTCTTGTTTCCAGCTCCAAATCAGAAAATATAAAGTTAGTTTATATCAGCTGTGTCTGAATTCAAACATCTTTGTGAAATGTTATTTTACCAATACTGTCTGGTTTAAATATTTTCTTGTCTGCAAAAACTTCAGTATTAAATGGGTTAAGTGCCACACCTTCAACTAGTTTTCATTCAGTTCAGGACACAACTTGATACTTTGTTCCATTTTTTTCTTGTGTGTCCCATGAATCACACCTTCACCTGAGATGTCTCCACAGTGGACTCCTCCTCTTCCTCTGCAGGGAGGCAATAAAAGGATGAAAAGCAGCATCCAGCTCACACAGACACATCTACCATCAGCCTTCATATTCCTCATCGTCCTTCAGAAGGTAAGAACACCTGAACACTCTTCCTCTGCTCACCTGGAAGGTTCTTCTTCAGGACGGCTCAGAGTTCAGAAGCTGTAAAGTTGATGTTTCTTTGTTCATTTGGAAGATTTCAAATGGTTTAAACAATGTTTAATGTTGTGACTCACAGAAATATAAAAATGCAGGTAAAATCTGTACTTATTTGTACTTTTAAATAAGGAGTTTGTAAGAAAACATAATGGAAAACTGGTAACCTGAACAATTTTACAGAAAACCGTGTGATTCCTCTACTAAGAGCCTTTATTCTTCAGAACTGCGTTTCTCTCAGCTGTCTGTTTGTGGCCCTGAGTCTTACCAGCAAACAAAAACAAGGCCCCCTCTCCAGCCTTGGGCAATTCTTCTTTTGTTCATTATAACTCACCTTTCAATAATGTGCAGAACTGAGTCTCGCTTCCTGAAAATGACAATCTGAGGAGGAAACAGGAACTCACCTATCGGCTGACACAGTTTTCTAACAAGGAGGTCCTGATGTACAAACATTACAAGCAAGGTGTGTAACAAGATAATCCCATGGGATTGGGTTGTTCTCACAACAACCTTATTTTTACCATTTAGACCCAAACAGGTAGAATATATTGTGCTAGTTTTAATTTTAAATCCAGCTCTTTGTTTTATTAAATAAATCTTTTAGTGATAGAAAAAACCCAAATATTATACATAATTAATGTATAATATAATTAATGCTACAGAACTGTGGAAAAGTTCTGGTCTTTTTTATTTATTTATTTATTTTGTTTGTTTGTTTGTTTGTTTGTTTGTTTGTTTGTTTGTT